ACCTAAATATTATTTAAAAGGAAAACCAATAGGAAAATGTTTGTTCCAAGCACAGATGTGGAAAACATATAAAGCTATATTTTCATTTTGCAGTGTTTGTACAAAACACTTAAAGGCTACAAACAGTAGTTTTAAAAGTTGTGCACAATMATTTCTTATCATCAAGCTGAAGCGTAATGACGCTGGAACTGCATAGCTACACATAAAAATGGTTAATATCTTAAAACTAACATGTCGCTTACCAGTTCCTGATGCACAGTGATTCAAACCTCCAGCCTGAACTTGTCCTTCACTTTTACAGTTTCAGCATTGAGAAGCAACAATGCTCGAGAATAAGGAAATGGAAAAGTGGCAAGTCCGGTTTCACTTCATTCTGCCTGCTTTTATAACCCGTTTCACGTTCTTTGCCTCTATTAGTTAAGCTGAATGTTTAGCATCGAAAGTGTAAATGTTTTGTCTAACTGTCCTCAGCAAAGAGGAAGAAGCCGCATCTCGTTTTGCGTCGAACCAGGATCTGAAAGTCCCCGCTAACTCGCGCACTCCAAACTCATGAAAAGCAAACAAAAAGGCAGYAGCTGCTGAGGAGAGCCGCTGCTACACCCACCAGTTTACTGGCAGTAGGCCTAACAAATAATTTCATTTTCACTTTGTTTTCTCGTTTTCTTCAAGACTCAGTGAGAATGGCGTTTGCACACACCTTTCATTTCACATGAACGTATAAGTTTCAACACTGATCTAAAATCAATAACAACAAAATAAATATTTGAAAGACAATTTGTGTCCATTTAACACCATTTTCCTTACTTAAGTCACGCTGATGGAGAACATATAAATTATAAGTTTTTGCAGTCGTTACTTTACTTATTTATTGTGTGTATTTTATTCAAAATCACACATTATAGGGTTGCATAAATTACCCACTAGGGGGCAGCAAAACATTGTTTTTGCAGCAGCATGGTCTGTGTAGTTGTCATTCAGTATTTCCCTCTATTTTGTGACACAACCTCACAAAAATGATTATAACAAATAATTTCATATACTCTATGCTGGCCGGCATTCTGACTTTACTCACACTATAGTCCTTACATATTATAAATACATGTATTCATGAGTTAGACCAAGTAAAATTATATGAATCACCTTAGTGTTAAAGGTCAGACATAAATGAAATGAAGTGATATTTTTCCCACCCTGCATGTTGTTGTTCTTGCAGTTTTAGGCTGAATGTAAGTGCATTAGTGAGACACTTAAAATAGCAATAAATCTGAAGATAATGGTATCAGCAAGTCCATTTTAAAAGGTCAACATTAATGGAAATACAAAATGACTCACTGCTGCTGCTGAACAAATGCCAGAGATTTGAAGCTGCTGCAGACCAACAAACTGTCTTGTTTTGTTCGTGTCATTGTTAGTGTCATCGACTGATCGTTTCTGTTCAGAGCAGTCAAGGAAACATTTAAAACTTTGGATTTATTATTTCAAACAATAAGTTCACTTTCAAGTAATGTCTTTAAATCTGAAACCCCCTTTGAAACTTACACAATCAAATTCCTCCAAAAACCTAGTTTGATTTGCTGCTAGGTCCTTCACCCTCCTGACACACAAGGCCTCAGTTTAAACATTGAGTCACACAGTTTTGACCAGGGCACTCTTGTAAAACACACTTTAAACTGAGTGAGTTTCTCCTGGTAAAGTAAAGGAAATAATAATAGTAATAAAATGTGGGTGTTATCTGAAATTCCTTACAATCTCCTTTGGCACACTTTCTGGTTTTCCATTCATTCTGCTGATAGATCTGACCTTTCTAACACAGAGGGGGTACATTTCTTTGAAACACGGTGTGTAAAGGAGAACACAACGAAAACCTGCTACACCCCCTCCAGAGACCTAAATAACATCTTCCTCCCCCTGGTTTTCTTCCTTTATCCTCCACTCTGATCAGAAAGCAGATAGACCTCAGGCCATCTGATTGGTTTACCCCCGCAGCTAAGCTGAGCCAGCTTAAAGGGCTTTGTGCCAATGCATGGACTCCCAAAGACCTGTTAAAAGCAAGAGACAACCTGCATGATCAGCACGGTGGTTTGGCAAATATTGTTAATAATATGAGAGAGATAAAGAGAGATAAGATGCGGGGGATTTCTGCGAGCTGAAAGGAGCATACTGTAAATCTGAAGCACGCGTTGTTGGACTGGATTCAGGAGAGAACCGTCTCCTGCTCGGAGGAAGAAGGCAATTGCAGTCATGAAAGATGAGAGGAATGAAGCTCAGGTCAGAGTGAGGTGAATGACTCGGCTCTAGGATGAAGAATCAACACTGAAGCCAAACCTGAAGCGAGGAAGTTGCGTTGATGTAGATATTTGTGTCCCGACTGACTGCACTTATGAGAAAGGGACAACTGGAAGGAGCCAGCGGCTCCATCAATGGGAGTTTGTTTGCCACATTCTTCATCTTATCGGACTGAGTAAATCTCGTCTCCCTGATTTGCAAACCGGATCCCTCAAGCGTTGGAATGCACGGTCATGAAAGGTGAGTTGACCCTCTGTTTATTCATGGTTGGATGCTAGCCCAAATGATGTAATCATGCAGATCGACTCCCATAGAAGTGTGTATGAGCTTTATTAGAAATGCTGTAAGTGGGTGTGACTTATGTCAGTACTCTTTCACTAAATAAACCTGCAGGACTACTGGAAGCCTTTTCAGGTAGAATGAAGCCGAGTTATAAGGGATAAAGAGATGACTGTTGAAAATAGAAGTCATATTTACACACAGAAATGGAATATAGCATGTTCTCTCTGCACTCTGCAGAAAAAAACGCTGCAGTATACTCTCCCCCCTCTCCTCCAGTTTGCTGACCAATGATGTTTGGAGGTCAGGATCTCAGCTCTGCCACTAGTGAAGGCACGGCTTGTTTCACAAACGTTCCAGCAAAAAAAAAAAAAAAAAAAAAAAGGAGAAGAAACTTGTAACACAACAAATCTAAAATACACGTGCACTTTTCTCAGTCAGATGCTTAAGAAAATACAGCAGGTGTTTTGCACCGGATGACTCAAAATTCTGTTTGCAGGATCGTATTGGGTGTATGAGAACAAGCTAAAATTAAATGACTGAGATGATCAAAAGCCCAATTCAAAATAAGAAAGTGATAACTATTTACACAAACCATCTAATCTATTATTTGTAGTGAAAACACTGTGACTTGAAACAGCTCTACAGTAACAAACAATTTTACTGATTTTTGTTTTCCTAATCAGTCATGSTATGTGTTTTCCCTCACTGGCTGGTGCTCACTAAGTGCTGACTCGGGTCTCTCCTCACTATAAGTGGTCCCCGGGGGGTCGACAGAACATCAATACAGCAGAGAAATCAGCAGCGTGGATCGCTCTTTGCAGTGCAGGTTCACAGAAATGCAAGGAAAGGAGATTTTTTTCCTTTTTAAGTATATGAGAACTAAAAAATGGACCTTAATAGGGTTGCAGCTCAGATTTCTAATAAAAGTGTTTTGCATTAAGACAGCAGTGTTTCTATCTGTAATACAGTGAAGGTCCGATTATTAACACTGAGATGTTTAGAGTGATTTAATGGAGAAAAATACTGACATGTTGATTGTTCTAGGATGTTTTTTCTTATTTTTATATTATATCTAACATGTAAACACAACAAACTTAAATCTGCATTTATTGATTCTTTGGTTTTTTGTTGACAAAGAGAGCTGGGGATCACCGTTACTTCTCTTTACTCCTAAGATTAGAATAAAAACTACACACATCAAAATTTGTCTGGCACTAACACTCGGCCCAGACACCACAGATGATGGGGGCACATTGGTGGCCCCGTTGTGGTTTGCCAGAGGTGGTCCATGCATGGGCCAGCACCCACATAAACCAAACCACAACTGGRCCAGTTGTGGCATACATATATATTTGGGCCATATAAACCAGTCCACAGTTATGGCATGCCATCATTAAAAACAGCACCATCATTGCCAGATCCGGCCCACATTTTGTTGACAAACCATTTACCATGCCAGTAGTGCCAGCCTTACACCAGATCTAGCCCACAGCTGTCTGCTGTGTGGGAATCATCATAATATGTTGTTTTGCTTTGCAAGTAATCTAATACACCTTAGCTGAGCTGTTTTGAGGTGAGGAAATGTGATGTTTCTGCTTGAAGTTCTCAATGAAGTGCTACAACTCGCTGCCTATAATAGGCTTGCAAACAACCTCAGTCCTATGTAAAAACAAGTAATGTCCAAGTGACAGAGCTGCAAAGGTTTAAAAATTAGCATGAAAGACTGAAAGTTTAGAGTTGTTTCAGGATTCCCCTCAGGAGTGGTAATAGCTGAAAATCATCAGTGAATTTAACAGCTGTTGAGATGAACAATCAATATCGATGCATATAATGTTATTTTCAAAGATTGACTGAAACAGCCAGAACGTTCATTTTTTTTCTCAGTATAAGATGTTTTTATGATGATCTTAGCGTGATGTCTCAAAGAAAACCTGGTGTATACTTAGAACGTCTCATGACATTTTTCTTTGGTTCGCTTCTCTGCAATATGTTCGTCCTCCAACACAAATATTTCTCTGGGTCATGTGGTCAAAGTGATTAAGTGAATGAAGTCTTTAGATGTAGCAGTGCCGAGCTGTTACCAAAGAAGGAATAAAAATATTTAGGAGCTGCATTCCTCGATGAGAAAAAAAAAGGGAAAATGTGAACCGAACAGGCACAAAGATTAAAAGTAAGATTAATGGTTTGACAGGAGGAACAATTTCCTCTGCTGCTCTTCCATTAAAACAGCTTCTCCTTTAGACACAAACATCTTCACGTCTTGTCATTTTTATTGTTGTATAAATCCTCCCACAGTGACTCAGTGTAATTATATCTGTAGGATCTCAGCCACTCGAACCTGTGCACACTTCTGTCCCATTGCTCGTGCACGTTTTTGTCTGTATTACAATCTGCTGCTGTTGGCTCCAGAAAATGTCCCCTGCTCCCTCTCCTGGAAATGCAGAGATTTATTGAGCCATTACTTAATTAGAGGCCCGAGAAAAAGCTGAAAATCCATCCTGAAGATTTACAGCCCGGATCCAATAAATCAGGGACAGAATTCAGGGGTACATTTTTTTCATAAACACTCTCTTTACGACTCATTAGGTGAATTAAAACATGCACGGACAGAGACTTTTATTAATTTTGCCACCCCCAAGAAGCTTAGGCAAATTCCATACAGTGGTTATAAAAACTCTGCACACCTCTGTTAAATTCTAGGTTATTGAGATGTAAAAATTGAGACTAAAATAAATTATTTCATAACTTTTTCCACCTCTAATGTGAGATTTATTCTGTACATCTCAATTGAAAAAAAATCCTTTATTTTGTTAGGCTGGGGGAGAGAGTGAAAATTAAAAAAAAATAATTAAATAAGGTGGTTACATGCTGTGATGCTAGGTTGGGTTAGTCCCAATTAGTGTTGCCAAATATGCATTGATATTGCATTTATGCAATAGTTTTAGGGTCCAAATGATATACAACAATTATTTTTTTAAAAACCAAATATAA